ACCTAAGACGATCGACCTGGCAACATACAACTGAGGACTGACGAGAAACTTTATTAACTTTATTTATTTAACTTTATTGACTCTAAGAAAAAGCTAATTGGCGACGGAAATAGGTAATAGGGTGGTACACCCAGACGTTCTCTGAAGGAAAGAAGTCACAAAATCATATAATTATATAATATAATATGTAGGAAATATCTACGAATTTAATGGGTTACTAAATTTATGTATGTAGGTTATTTTCCACCATTTTATTTTTAGTCACATTTTTTCTCAATTTAGGCTTATTACAGTTTGTATACTCGTATTTCGGAATAGATCCGCGTAGTTAGATCTCTACAGAGAAGAATTTGTTAAAAAACCGACCACTTCACCTGTTAATTTAAGTGGGTCAAATCCTGTAAATTTTTAACCAGAAAAATTTTACCAACATTTTAAGTTAGTTTTATAGATTGAGCTGAAATTTGTGTCGATGACAATACTATCATCCTTGGGTATACTTAGTTTCGAAGTGGAGAAATATATTTTCATTATCTTAATATCTGGATGTCAAATGAAAGAGGTTATCAGGCAGAATATGTGACGTCGTTTTAATTTCAATATTATGGAAGTTGTCCTAACACAATGGTCGTTCCTGAAGCTTGGTTTAAAAGATTTGATTTTCTACAAACAGTAATTGTAATAATGTTCGTTTAATGTCAAAGATTTAATTAAATAAGCGGCCCAAGTGTCTTAGGGTTCGATTATTGTAATTATTTTTCGTTTATGACATTGTCAATGTCGCGTCAAAATTAATTTAATAGCAAGAGCTTTTAATTAGCACCTGTCTCGGCTCAGTATTAAATAATTTATGAAATATTATTTAAACTCAAACATTTTATTGCGTTCATGTTGTTACATAAATAGTTCTTATGTTGGATATATTAGAGCAAACATGAGCCCTGATAGGGCGTGGCAATATTATATTATATATTATATTATGATGAAAGATGAATTTAATTTTATTTACTTACTTATCTTCACGCACAATCTCTAATGGGGTAGCCAGAGAGAACAGATCGCCAAGTGTCACGATCCTTACATACCTCTATCGCTTCTTTCAGGTTCATTAACTTCTTCATACATGCACGTCTAGGTATCCGAGTACTCTTGACCTTCCCCTCTTCAAGCAATTTGCTCACATGGTCTTCGAAAGTTAGTCTCGGTCTACCTCGACACCTTTTAATATTTACTTTCGCTCTATATATTTTCTTCACCATTCGGTCTTCACTCATTCGCTCAACGTGCCCAAACCATTGGAGTGCGCCCCTATCAATTTTTGTGATAAGGTCATCTTTCAATCCTGCCATATTGCGAATCTCTTCGTTTCGCTTTCGGTCGGCTATGGTAACGCCACACATTTTACGAAGAGATCACATCTCCACTGCATTCAACTTGCTTTTATGCTTCTTCTGGCATACCCAGGTTTCGCTGCCATATAACAAAGTCGGTACCAACACTGCGTTATGTATTGCAAGGCGTGCACTCTTCACCACGCCTTGCCTTTTGACTAATGCATTCAGGGAACCATTGACTTTGTTTCCGGCAGCGACACGCCTATCCACATCTAAATCACATCTTCCATCCCCGGCTGAAAGCACTCCCCAAGTATACAATTTCATTTACCTGTTCTAGACATTCCTGATTTACCCATATTTCACATTTCGTTCTCTCTTCGTCCTTTTCAAATACCAGAACCTTAGTTTTATGAACATTCGAACGGAGACCTTTAATTTCACATTCCTCTTTCATACACGTGACTAACGCCTGCAGTTCTGCTTCTGATGGTGCAATAAGCACTGCATCATCAGCATACAGCAGACAATTAACTTTAATGTCACCCAATTTCACACCCAAACAGCTATTTTTCAGCTTCTGTAAACAGCTGTCGAGATACAGTATGAACAGCCAGGATGACATGACACAACCCTGTTTTACGCCCTCTTGGACGCTAAACATGGGTGACAGGTCATGCCCTACCCGCGCACAGGCTTTACAGTCATAGTAAAGTGACTGCACAGCCCTTAACAATCGACCATCCACACCATATCTCGGCAACAGTTCCCTCATTTTCTTCCTTATAACCTTATCAAATGCTTTCTCCAGATCCACAAAAGCACAGAAAATCCTCTGTTTAACACTCAGAAGCTTTTCCGTGATCATGCGGAGAGAAAACATTTGATCCATGCATCCTCTTCCAGGTCTAAATCCGCATTGTGCCTCCCATAAGAATCTTTCCGATTTCTCTTGCATCCTACGTGTCAAAACCTTCGAGTAAACTTTACTTGCTAAACTGTTCAAGCTGATCGCCCGATAGCACCCGCAGTCAAAATGTGAACCTTTACCTTTATATAAAGACACAATGACCGCGGACCGCCAATCATCCGGGACACCTCCCGTCCGCCAGTACAAATTGCACAGCAGATGAAAGCTGTCCCAGACGCGAGGCCCACCGTACTTGACCATTATATATATTAGATATAGATAGATATATATTAGACATAATTTTATTTACTTAAACTAAACATTACTTTTATTTTTAATATTTTTAAGCTCTCTTTGAAATTTATACAACGATTCTTCTTTTTGTAGACATTTGGGATTTTATTATAAATTTTTACTCACATACCGTAGGGTCCTGATTTGACTGTCTGTAATTTTGAGATAGGTGATATTTTTAATGAAATAAATTAGGGTTTACAGCTGTCAGTGCTATCTATGTTTGTAATTATGCGGATACGTTTTTTTGTAAAATAAACAATTTATTTACGTCCGTGCTGTTTCCCCACAGTAAAATGCCGTACTTGAGCCATGCATGGGCATAAGCATAGTATGCACACGTGGCTGTTCTTGAATCTGTAACTTTTTTTAAATTCGTATAGTGCATACGAGAAACGGGAAAGTTTAGATGATACTTTCTTTATGTGTTCTTTCCAATTTATACCTGAATCTATGTTTATACCTAATAATGTATATAAATCAACACATTCAAGTTTAGTATCGTTGTAAGAATAATTTATAGATAGAGGGTATTTTTGATACGGCTTAAATTGTATTATCTTAGTTTTTGTGTAATTTGTGACGAGATTGTGATTTTTTAACCATTTATAGATATCTGTTAGTACACTATTTAGACAGTTGTTAAGATTGTTATTAGTATTATTGTCGAAAGGGATGAATACAGAAAGATCATCAACATTTATTTATAAACAAAATTTATTTATATTGGTCTATATTGTACGTTTTTGGGATTATTTAAATTGTATCTCGTTGAAGATTTAACATGTTCCACCGTAATCAGCTTGTAAAATATCACTGTTTAATTATGATTTTCCCCCGTTGAAGATGTTCACGGATGACAATAACAAAATCTGATCGTTGACACTTGATCGCAAGAAAACTAGATTAAAGTGTAACCCATCAGCCTTTTTAGTTAATATGCTAAACTAAAGTGTGTGTGAAACAGGTCTTGTGTAGTCAAACATTAAAGAGCTGATTTACATCGTAAAATGTAAATATTTGTATCATGTAGCAGCGGCGTAAGAGGAGATGGAGGGAAAGAAAACAGGTGGTGGGTAGTAGTATCTTTATGATAACAACCCTAATTAATTAAAAAACCTCGTATATATTTGGTAGAACCATGCTACAGCTATATTATGGTTTTAACACAAATAGGTTGGCTCAACCGGTGAAAGACCAAGCTTGCACAGAATACCAGCGTGCTGCTGTGTTCAGTATGCTGGATAGAGAAAGTACTGCAGACACTTTTAACTGGAAATGGAGCATTCCATCCTCGTTCTCAGAGATGAAAACACATCTGCATTTTATTTCTCAATTAAGGATAGATGCAGGTGTCTACGGGCCATGGCATCTATTTACCATCTGGAGGACTGAGTGCTCGTTTGTCACTTTAATATTTAAGGCAATAGAATTAAGGCGATCAATGGGGAGGACCAATTTTCAATAGTGGACTTTAGTTAGAGTGTAATAAATAAAAGAATGAGTGAACTAATCCTAAATAAAATGGAAAATAATTTGATCTGAGCCATGAGCCGTCGAGCCGGGGTAGCCCAAGGGCTTAGTATTCGATGTAAATTTCTCAGTACACGAGAAACCTGGGTTCGATCTCCGGCGCCATTGGTGCAAATTCTTAATTGCAATTTAAGTACTGATTTACAACGTGTTCGGCGGTGAACGAAAACATCGGCAGGAAACCTAAATATCTGAGAAACAAGAAAAAAACAATATTTCAAAGACAAGTGAAGTTCGCCATTACGCATTGGGGCTGCGTGATTGGCATTTGCTTGCCCTAAAATCCTCTTAGAAATGAGAGGAAGCCTGTGCCTAGCAGTGGGACGTATTATGAGGCTGTAACTTTAAACTTTTAGTATTTTTCTGTCATTACCCATTATTTTCTAGACTCCTGCTTTTTAACTCTTCTTTTGCAGCTGTGTGTCTAATTATATTATAAAAGTAAACCGATTTTGATCATTATTTTATAAGTTTATTGTATTTTATATTTTACTAGCTACTACTAGCGCGTTTAATTTAGGGCTTTAGTATTTTGAGCGGAGCCCCAATTTTTTTTCTAAAGTAAAAGTAGCCTACGTTATTTTTTCAGTACTGTATCCCTCCAACCACATCACACACACACACACACACACACACACACACACACACACACACACACACACACACACACACACACACACACACACACATATATATATATATATATATATATATATATATATATATATATATATATATATATATATCTTCTTTATGCATTTAGTAAAAGACCGCTGTTTTAATATTACAACCAGACACTTCAATTTAATTTATTTGTACGAGTATATAGTCAGATTTGTTACACGCGTATAATAGTAAGGCTGTTTAGTGTTTAGCCATTTACTTTATAATTTTTTACTAAATAAAATACAAAATATATTTATAACATCATGTTCTTACAGGATCCTTCACAAAATGAAGAAAAACATCATGCTGTTTCTAACAATCATTATGTTCTCAACGCGCAAAGAGTAAGTAAGATTTAATTATTGCGCTCTTATCAAAGTCCGTAGCTTTCAAAATTTCTTTTTTGTATAGCTACTGATTTCATTCATTACCCCCCAAGCTTGAATTTTGTATTTTATCAAAATCATATTGCAGTCGGGAGACTATGTATTACAAAACGCAGTCCTATTTACGTTCACCGGAGGTGCATTTTTTCTATATATCTTTTTATTTCATAAAATTTCAATTGCTTTTTATACGAAAACGTTAACATACGTAATCATAATTAACGCTAAGGTCTCTGTTCTGAGCCTTTTAAGCATTGGTGGGTGCCAAATTACGTATTTTTTTCTTATAATAAGCAACCTTATCAGAATTATACTTAAGGAACATAAATTTAGATTTTTGAGTCTTACAAGTAAATAAATCATTAATTTCTTCCTAAGCTTATTTAAATTATTTTGCCATTTGCCATACATATAACAAATTTAAATACCGTATATGATATGTGATATGTGCAACAAATATGAAATTTACTTTATTGTGTTGTAGTAAAAGAAATCAGGATAGTTATTCGAATTATTTCCGTCCATAAGTGATCTAAGATCTGGGTTAATTTTATCTTTAATATGTACAAAATAATAACAGATATTGTAGTAGTATTAAATCATAAAACTATTTTAATTTTTGTAGTATTCGGCCCACAATATGACATATCTCGACAAATCAGAAAATTTACTAAGAGTGCCAAAGAAATACTACGAAGAAAGGAAAAGGAAGCAAAAAACATTAAAGAAGCTGCCGAAAAGAACTGTGCAGAAGATAATTAAACAGACTAAATCTAAATATAGAAGAAGTTTCAATCAAGCTACTATTCAGCCTACCCAAGTATCAGAAGATTTCAATCTAATAGACAAATCACTATCCGATAAATTAGATAATAAAGCAACTACTCAAGTTAATCAAAGAAAGAAGTCAAGAAAAAACATAAAATTGATGCGGTATCCAATGCCGTTCCAGAAAATTTCCTATCATAATAGATATAGACGAGATAATGAAAGAGATGTTTACATATTAAATGATCTTGATGAAATCGAGTTCTTGAGTAATGAGGATGGTTATGATGTGGTTAATGCACATGTTAAAAACTATTGGTGATTTGTGAAATATAATATATTATTTGGTTGTAAAAAGTGTATTTTACTCAGTAAATTTAGTTCAATTTTAAACTAATTTATGACATGTTTATATAAATCATGATATTTTAATTTTATATTGAGTAAAAATAGTTTATATCTTTATTTATAATTACTTATATGGTGTTAATAATTAGTTTTTTATTTTTTTTTACATATTTACTGAACTCTTCATTAATAAAACATTTAGAACAAAATCACTCTTTCAATACCTTGCTAAAGAAATTTCCAGAAAGGGAAGCAGTTTGTTCAAATAACCTACAAGAATCTCGTTGGTCTTGTAGTCGTAAGTAATAGGATTTGAATCTTGAGTCGGGCCAAAGTCACTTTTTGGGTCTTTCTGTTAGGAAAATCGCAGTAGCAAACTGAAGTTATAAGGGTTATGAATATTAAAGGAAAATATAGGAAGATCTTAAGATAGCCAATAGTTCCAGAGCAAAAGTAATCCTACATTTTAGTCATAATTAGTAAAATAGTCTTGCACAAGCCCTATTCGATCATATCCCAAATTCTTTATAAAATCTTGTGCATTATTCTGTAAAGATAGGTACATTGATCAACATCATGTGATAATTGAAAAATATTGATATGCGTACCGCGTTTGGAAAACTTTAAGCTGCTTATTTTTTTTTCATGAACCCATCTTAGGTTTTTACGAATTAACGGTCAAGCTATAGATTCGTCGACACTTCTGAGGAGTAAGATGGTATGTCTCATATCTTGTAATTATAGCTCTTTTTTCCCTTCAGACTGAAACACAGAAGTGCAAGCACCGCTAATTGACGACGGAAATAGGTAATAGAGTGGTACACCTAGAATCATAACGTATGTCTCTTTCTTTTACCTTATATTATGAATTTAGTGGGTTACTAAATTAATTTCCACCACTTTATTTTTAGTCCTATTTTTTTGTCAATTTAGGCCTGTTACAGTTTCTTTTATAAACCGAAATCTTCTATTGGTTCGCAAAGTTAGATCTCCAAAGGGAAGTAGCAGTTGAAAAACCGACCACTTTACCTTTACTTTATTTAGTTTAAGTGGGTCAAATCTTGAAATCATTGAAAAAATCTTGAATCTTGAAATTTTTAACCAGAAATTTTTAAGTCAATATTTTAAGCTAGTTTTACGTTATCGATTGAGCTGAAATTTGTGTCGGTGACAATAACATCATGTAACTCCTAACTGCTTGGGTATACTCAGTTATATAATTTTTCAAAATCCTGCTTTTTCGAGGTGGAGGAATATACATATTTTTATTATCTTAATATGAATGTCAAATGAAAGGGTTTGTCAAGCAGAATAAGTAACGTCATTGTTATTTAAATTGTTTTCAGCTACCCTCCGGGAAGCGGGTCAGCCAGCACGCAGTAGGTTGCGTGGTATGCTTAGAGCATTCACTACCTCCGGCTGCAGCTAAACACCATCTGAGACTGGCTTTGGCCTAAAGGGCCTTTTTGCCATATCGGAAGCGACCCCCCATTGGGGAAAAGGCGGCACAGGTGGCGAGTAGCCGCTGAGAGCGCGCCTAACTAAGGAAACTTATGAATTGGGAGAAGGCTCGGGCTGAGCTGTGAGGAGGCAGTCCTGGTCAGCCGAAAGCTTGTTGGTGGGAATGGGCCCGAGAGAGAGTGCCTCGGCCTGCAAACTCGATAGAAAGAAGGAAGTGGGGCTGTATAGGAAGCTGCCTCACGAATGAGATGATTTGAGTGAGGCTTTGAGGCTTTGAAGAAGTTCTCAGAGAGTGATTTTAGGAATTGTTGGATTGTGGGGAGTCTAAGTCTCGTTGAAGGTAGGCGTTACGGCTGAACCAGGGCGCGTTCGTAGCCCGATGACAAGAAAGTTTTTGAACTATTTGAAGTTCGTTTAGTATGCTAAGTTTAGCATGAGCAAAAATGAGGGCATCGTATGTCATGACTCGTCATACACAGACCTTATATAGGGTTCGCTTGTTTCAGAGAGACATTTTACTGTGTCAGCCCAGCATGCTGTTGAGCCTACCCAGGTAAAATCGCGCGGTGCGAGTTACTTTCTTGACATGAGGCTTGAAAGCGAGCCTCATGTCAAGGTTGACACCTAAGTATTTGGTCGTCTTTTGCCATGGGACAGAGGTTCCTAGCGTCCGGGTTTTTGCGGAATGGTAGTGGGGAGTCGTCGTTAACGTTCCAAGCAAGCGGCGGAGCTCTTCTCCGGGTTCACATCGATACGCCACTTTTGGAACTGACTTTTGGATCTTATTCCGGATAAGTAGTAGTGATTTACCTTTATAATATAGGGCTGTGTAATCAGAAATCTGCTAAGACCTGAGAGTTGAGCTGGACATCATTCGACAGGATGAGAATGTCACAACGTGGGGCAAGCACTTAACCTTGAGGGACACTGGCTTGGATATCACGCAAAGAGGAGAGCGTGTCGTCGTGTCCGAAACGAAAGGTACGATCCGATCTCGATCAGACTCTATCAAAAGCCTTAGCTATGTTGAAAAAGACCGCGATGGTCTTATGACGTTGAGAATAAAAACCACTGAGGATATATTCCACTATACGGTGAACTTGTTGGGGGCATGACATGAGTGTTTCGCTCGGAAACCAAATTGGTGGGGGATGACAAGAGGGTCGCCGTCTGTGTGAAAGAGATGGCGCCTCTGCAAGTGAGGATGACGCGTTCAAAGAGTATGCCCATGGCCTTGAGGAGGCTGATGGAATGGTGACTGGAGGGAAAGTGGTGAGGCTTGCCTGGCTCAGGAATGCCAGTGACAGTTGCCTCTTTCCACGAGGAATGTAGCTGAGAACGAAGCAGGCGTTGAAGATTATAACCTGTAAAGTAATCACCTGTTCCGTAAAACGTTTAAGGGCTTGGTTGGAGATTCCATCCGCACCCGGTGCCTTTTTGAACTTCTGTCCTTTCCACTTTGAGTAGAAGTGGGACAGGTAAATTCAACCTGAAGTTAAAATATCCAAACATAATGACTGAATTGCCTAATGCAAGGATGGCCTTGAAACCGCTCTTGAGGGGGAGGGTTCCGCTAGGGATATAGCTGGAGGCTATGATAATAGGCTGATGTCCAGTCAAGGCTAGCCTTTACACCTTGGCTTCCATATTGGTAAGCGGCGGAGTGATGGAGCAGTGAAGTGACTTCTTGTAGTAAATGGCAGTACCACCGCTTTGGGGGTCAGATCTTTCGTCACGTAGAAGAGAGAACTTTTTGTTGGAGAGGCTTTTGAAGTCCTTAGGATAGAGGTGGGTCTCCTGGAAAGAAGGATAGAAGGAAGGAGGTTGGCTTCGCGATCTCGAAGAAAGAGCTTAAGTTCAGGGAAGTTATTACGCAAACGCGGATGTTGAAGGAGACAAGCGATAAACCCTTTGGCTTGATAAAACCGTGGGATATGGTGAGAGCAGGAGGCTCTGAAAATAAATTAAATGAAAGGGAACACAAAAGATTGTGATGCTCAGCAAGAGCAAGGAGATGGTCCTGAGGGGACTGAGAAGCGCGCAGTTTCTATCAGCAATCTCCCCAGTCGACGATCCGAATAACGGAATATACTGTCTTCAGGTCAAATGCCAAAGATGATTGTGCCTGGTGTGGGGCCTGGTCAGCCTTTTTGAGGCCCCAGGGGATAACTGAGGGCGGTGGGGGCCGAGGAGGGCCCTGAGGGGGTTTAGGGGGCCGAAGGAGCCCTGAGGGGGATTTTTTAAATTTCAATATGGAGGTAGTAGAGTAGTATGGTAGTAGTAATATAAGGGTCGTGTCTGAAGCTTGGTTTTAAAAATTTAAAAATTATTTAATTTTCTATTAACAGTAATTGTAATAATGTTCGTTCAGTGTTTAAAGATTTAATTAAATAAGCGGTCCAAGTGTCTTAGGATTTGATTATTGTATTTATTTTTCTTTTATGACATTGTCAATGTAGGTAATAATAACAACAATTAATGGTAAAAGCTTTTAATTAGCATCTGTTTCGGTTCAATATTATATAGTTTATGAAATATAATTTATATTATATTGGTCTATTTTGTAAATGTTTAGGATTATGTAAATTGTATCTTGTTGAATATTTAACATATTCCACCGTAATCAGATTGTTAAAGATCACTGTTTAATTTTCCTCAGCTGAAGATGTTCACGTAATGGCCAAGCAGGGCAAGAAAATGACAATAACAAAATCTGATGGTTGGCATTTGAACACTTAAAAGCTAGATTAAAGTTTGACCCACCAGCCTCTTTAGCTAATGTGCTAAATAAAAGTGTGTATGAAAGAGGTCTTGTGTAGTCAAATAATAAAGAGCTGATTTACATTATAAAAATATATATATTTGTGTCGTGTAGCAAAGGCGTTAGAGGAGACGGAGGGGAAAAAATAGGTGGTATGCAGCAGCGTCTTCCTGATTACAACCCTAATTAATCTTATATATGTGGTTGAACCATGCTGCAGCAGCTATATTATGCAGCTATATTATGCAGCTATATTATGCAGCTATATTATGCAGCTATATTATGCAGCTATATTATGCAGCTATATTATGCAGCTATATTATGCAGCTATATTATGCAGCTATATTATGCAGCTATATTATGGTTAAAACACGAATGAGTTGGCTCGACCAGTGAAAGACAACGCTTACACAGAATTTAAGCGTGCTGCTGTGTTTCGTATGCTGGATAGATAAAGTACTGCAGACACTTTTCACTGGAAACGAATTCTTAATCAGTAATAGATGCAGGTGTCTATGGGCCACAGTATCAACCTACCATATGGAAGACTGGGTACGCGTTTGTCATTTTAATAATTAAGGCAATAGAATTAAGACAATCGATAGGTAAGGCCTATTTTCAATAGTGGACTTCAGATAGAGCGTAGTATCTAGGCTGCACTAAAAGTATCGGGAATGGAATATTTCCACTGTTCCTGTCATATTAAAATCTTTTTAATTGAAAACTCCTTGGTTTTAAAAATTGAATACCAT